AACTATATTCTGTGGAAGGAACATAAAATGTTCATATATCCCAATGATTAAAATGGTATTCTCTGTTGACCACCAGTTATTATAATTTCATTTTCTTTAGGTATATGTGTTTGATTTCAAGTGTGCCTTGTAAGAAAAGTGAATAAGAGCATTTCTCCCAGAATGCAAAAGATGTTGAACAATATTGAAATTTCAAACTGGATGAATGGGTTCTTATTGTCTATTGCTTCTATTGCTACTGAGGACACTTGTTCTTGTTTGAGGAAAGAAACTAAATATGCATAAATTTTTTTCCCTATTAAATTTTCGTTTTTTATACTCACACTTTCGTAATTCAAATGTTTGGTGAAGAATTCAATCAAAAAGCCTCCAGCTTAAAATATTGAATTTGTCAATCCAGGATATACAGGGTATCTCAATTTTCTCTGCTATTTTTCTTCATTGTAAGAACTTTTCATTTCACTATTTCAAAAAAGTACTTTCAGAGGAACAAAACAAAATTAATTCATACAACTCTTACTTGTTGAAAATTTATTATTTTCTTTAACCCATTGGAATTCAAGGATCAGATATAATGGAGAAACATCAGAGTAAGTTGGTAGTGAGTGAAAGTATTCTGGGGTGTTTATGAAGCCTGTTTTCAGAAAAATAGAGAAATCATCCATTTTTTCTCTCACAGTGAATCTGTTTTGCACTGCATGGCATGAGGCCAAACTATAAAATGATGTTTTAATGTTGTAGGCTAGATCAAAGAAACACCTTAATGATGTTTGGTCCTGCCTGAATATTAAGAGATAGCTTTGAAGACTCACACAAWATGTTTTACAATCTGATGATTGCTTATCTTACCTCATTAAAATGAAGCAAAAGTTCTTTCAATGGTTTATGCTAAGCCTATAGGTATGAGTGTTTTTACTACCAAATAGTCATCATCCAAGTCTTGTAATTAACTACATAGCTTATGATTAGAACATTAAAGTTTAAACTAGTATCACATAGGGTACAGCACTATTTTTGAGGACAGAACATTTAAAAGTTGAGAAGAAACTATRGAAAATAATGAATAAAGTATCTTTATAGCTAGGAATTTTTTAAATTGAAATAATAAAACAAGGTTACTCCATTGATCAAAGACAATGTAAACCATTACCTGTTAAGAAAAAAAAATATTCCTCTTCTTTAGTGTATATTAAATGAATATAGGTTGATGTGAAAGAAAAATGAATCAGGGATTGTGGAAGTAAGTCTTCAAGGAGGTTTCACTCTCCTGTTTCCCCTATCTTGCTAGTGTTTACTATGCTAAAGTCTCTCTATTTTTAAATAAGTCATTTCTTTTCCTTGTTTTCTGAAGTGATTTTATTGGAAAAAATTAAAATACTGAATTTATTGTTTATTATGATTTTAACAAGGAAGTAGTTTACAGAAATAAATGTTCATTTATAAAAATATATAAAGGGCTGAATGTTCTCTCTGATATTCAGATGCTAGCTTACAATTGGAGGTGGGAGAAATAGAATTACTTTGGATTAGACAAAGGGGMATGAGGGGAAGGAGGAGAATGGGAATAGGAAATATAGTGAAATGAATTGGACATTACTTTCCTATGGACATATATGAATATGCAAACACTGTAATTCCACATTGTGTACAACCAGAAGAATGGGATGTTATACTCTATATATGTATAATATGTAAAAACACATTTTACTGTCATATATAACTAATAAGAATAAATAAACAAATAAAAACATATAAAGATAAACTCTGTTTTCAAGAATACTCTAATCCAATAGATCTTGAAATATGGACTCAGGTAAGCAGCATTTATATAACCTTAACACTTAGTAAAACACAAATTCTCATGCCCCAACCTGGATCTGAACTAGAAACTCTGAGGGTGGGGCCCATCAATAAAACAGAATAAACCCTCCAGGTAATACTGATACACACTAAAGTTTGAAAGTAACTGTTCCAATCTAGTCTACTAAGATTTAAATTTTGGGTGGTTTGTAAAATATGATGGGACCTTTTGTATTACAAGTTCAACTTTGTTTATTCTTCGTATGAAATATTTGCAAGGAGACCTAGAGGGAGCTATATTTCTGGGGCTTAAATGTCACMTGTGCACAGATGAAAACTTCTGAAATAAAGCTATGAAATTTGACTATGTCATGGGGAAAGATGGCATCAGTTGTCTATACTTCCAGATGRATGGTTGAAAGCAGCAGAAGCTGGCGAAGGCAGCAACTCTCCCCAAAGCAATTTGATTATTCCTTCAGTCTGAACTATAAAATAAAACCTCAAAATACAGTCATAAATACACTACATGCCTTATTCTGTAGGAGAGGTTTACTTCTTTTCTTGTTGTTCTTATACAGAGAAGAGAGAAAAAGAAGAAATGTGAATGCCATTTCTAAATATACCTATGTACTTTGAGACATTAAAAAATGTGTGGACTTATGAATCTTGTCCATTCCCTGAAATCTGTGGAAGAGCTCAAACTCCTTTTCCTTAATCAATACATTAAAAGCAACTGAAGGACAAGAARTGCTTCCGCTTTTTCTTTCCTTTCCCTCTGTATTATTCTATTCCTAGGGCCATTTAGTAAGTATTCAATACATTTTTTTTGATAACTAAAATAATGAATGCTATGGATGCTCTGAAGATATGGTAGACACTCTGGAGTAAGGAAAATGTAAAAATAATGTAGGTTTTCTTTTCTTTTTAAATTTTTTGTGGTGCTAGGGATTTAACCCTGGACTTTGCACATGCTAGAACACTATTACTGAAGTAAGTTCCTAGCCCATGTAGGTTCCTAAAATTCCTAATAGATACAAGACTCCTAAGGGAGGCACCAACTAAAGATTAAAATGAATAAAGTCAATCTGATACATGTCATCTGGCCAAATAATTGTACCTGCCTGACATTTTTCTAGGCTCCCAGAAGGAGCAATGGCTTCAGTCACTTTATATACTTTTCTATACATGGAGCAAGAAATACATACAAATTTCAGGCCTTTAAAAAAATCTAACTAATTCAATCATATTGTGATGTAATTGAGAATCTCATTGTACATATCCAAAAGTTAAAACAACCTAAATATTTTATTTCTATATCCTTTGAGTCTCTTTGAATCTGATGATTAGAAAATTTAGTCCAACCTGCTTACATCAAACATGAATTTACTAATTCATRTATGAAAAAAGCCAGATGTAGAACTTGTTTCAGCCATAACAACATTCAGAGCTCAACAATCTTCATCTGGGCTTTTCTTTCTTTCCAACAGCCAGGTCTGCCTTCCTCTAACATTGGCTTCATTTTCTGACTTCACATGGTACACAGAAGGTCTAAGCTCAGATCTTCGCTGTGCAAAGTCCAGAGAAGTCCACTTGTTTAAAGAAGGCAAAAACTTCCCCCAGAATGATGCCCTTTTGTCTTTGATCTCCCATTCTTGATCACACACCAATCCCAGTGGCAGGAAGACATAACACTACCACTGGCCACACCTGAGTTAGTATCTGCTCTGCCCCAACAAGTCAGAGCTGATACTAACATCACCTGCAGCAAATGGGTTGCGGAGTGGGACAATGGTTGCAACCTCCAAAATAAATTTCTATAGAGGATTGAGCACTGGGAAATAAATGCACAAAGGTCCACAACAAGTTATCATTAGTAGATGCTACTAACTATGACTTTCATGTGTTGTATTGGTGGGGTTAAGTGAGATTTTAAAGAAATCATTCGATTTAGGCTCCTAATCAAACTATAGTTTTGGAGAACATAACTTGAATCCAAAATGTCATCTACAAAATATCATCTCATTTGTTGGCCCCCCACTTGTCTTCAGGGACTGGTTAGAAATGACAAGCAGAGCAAACTCTGAGTTTGCAACCATGCAGCAGCCCCACCGTGCTGCCCTGTCCGATGCCAATGACAGAAGCGCCACCAGTGGGGATCATACTGGTGCGCCCTTATCTTCCGCTCCCGCCTAGGGGCCCGCATCCGTTTCCCTGGCGGCACAACCCGGCTCATCCTAGGCTGCTTTCATCAATCCTTCTGAAGGGGCGTTCAGAACGGGCAGCCTAGGAAGGGACAGCAAGGTCTCCAGGAGGCCAGAGAAGCCAGATAAGCGGGGGCCACCCTGGTGGGTGGGTAGCTGGCGGATGGAGGAGGCTCGCGTCCGGGGTTCCCGCCTCCGCCCCTTCCCCCGCGGGTGCGCGCCGGCTGGGAGCTGGGAGGCGGCGGCGGCGCCCGCCCYGGGAGGCGGCGTGAGGGCGGCGGCGGTGGCGGTGCGGCCGGGTGGGTCTTGGAGACACGGTTTGCATCCAAGAGAGGACAGGAGTACCCAGCACGACCCCTGCGCTGGCCCGGCAGCCACTCCCCGAAAGGCGCTGCCCGCGCTGACCACCCAGTCGGCGTCTCCCACCGGCTGGGTTGGCAGGGACGCCGGGAGGACGGGGTCTTTCCTGTTGGACTGGAGTACAGCTCCGCCGGTATACAGCAGGGCAGCCTGCGGGAGCCGCGGAGGCCGAGAACCCGGGAAGGAAGATGCCTGCAGATCGCTGCAGCCCTAGGTAATCACGATGGGTGACCGGACAGGTCCTCGCCTAAAAACCGAACCAGGCGAGTTGAAATGCGGACTCCAGAGGTGGCACCGCGATCAGAACAAGTTTCTTGGGGTTTGGAAAGAAAGTGTCTTGAAATTGACACTCGTTTTACTTATCAGCCTTTACTGTTCTGTTTTAAATAAGTTTATTTAAACAATAAAAAAAAAATAGTTTCATGAGAGACTGTGGGCTTGTAAATATAATCGCGAAAGTTTTGCATGTTGTGGTTATTTGCTTATGCATTTTTATTAACGTGTTAACTCTTCCACTAGTCAGAAAATTGACATTTAAAATATTCTTTGAGGAACATTACAAGTTCGTTGTTGCATGCAGACACTGTGTTATTTATCAGCTTAGTTAGCATCTGTCTTCCTGAAGTAGTACCAAAGCCGGGTCCCTTGACAATGGGTCTTGCATGTGACACTCTTGCCCTCTAGTGCCTCACCAGCTTGGTAGCAGTTTGATGGCAAATATTAATAAGATGTTACATAACAAGGATTTGGGGCCRGGATTGGTATTGCTGCCACTTGTAAAGCCAAAAATTCTGAGCCGATGGTAACAGATGCTGTTTCGGGTTATTGTATGTCTATTGAAACTTTCTCCAACATTTTGAACTCTTTGAATTTTAATTCCAGGTAAGGATATCTGTTTACTTACACTATATATCAATGGCTGACTCATAACTGTAGGGGCTGTTAGTAACAGATAAAAACTTTGTTTTCAGTTAATTAAGAATTTCAGGATTAAACAAGTGACTCATTTTATTCTTTAAGAAGTAGAGCATTTTGGTTAAGTTGGCTAACAATCTAAAATTGTCCTGTAGTACATTTGTTAACAGATGATATGTCTTTTGTCTCTGTAGAATTTTGGGAGTGATATCAAAAATTTAAACTATAGCTATTTGTTTATCTATACAGTAATGGTACTCAGCAACGCTTTGTATTTAATGCAGTTTATTTTATAACCATTTTTAAGATTATATGAGTAAAAAATTAAGTGTAGCTGGAAAGAATGAGTAACCATAAGTATTGAATGTACAGCTTTAAATTAAAGAAAATAGGTATATCTCCTATTTAATATAGCCAGTTTAGGGAAGGGGGTGGGGAAGAATTAAAATACTTTCCTTAAAGGGTTTAACCACATAGTCTTTCTTATATCTGGGCACAGTTTAAGCCTCAAAGTTATTTAAAGTTAAAATGTTATCTGTACTTTTATAAAAAATATTTGGATATAGCAACATATATAATGTGAAGTTTTGAGTAAAACAATTCAAAGCAATATAAATGTCTATATTTCTAATATTTAGTAAGATAGAAATGAAATATTGAGTTGTGTGAAACTGACCTCAAATTTATTCTTTTTTTTCCTTTTGCTCTTAGAAAATATCATGTTATCAAGTATTGAACAGTTACTCATCACGAGAGAGCAGAAAGATGAAAGGAAAACTGATATTTAGCTGAAGGGATTTTTTTCCCCTCTTGCTTCAGCCATATCAATTTTGTATTTGGGAAAGAAGTTTCAATAATATATTTGAATGAGTCTTTTTAAAAATAAGTACTGAACATAATAAGAGATTGCCCTACCAGAGGTCTTTTATTTTCTTCATTCTCTAGTTAACACAGTTTCTATCATTTCTGCAGTATAGTTATTGTTTTCTTTATTATCTTGATTGTAAAACAGAAGGCTTGTGTCTTTGTGTAAGTGAGAAATGTGAACTGTTATATGAGCTAATATTTTTCTTCATAGTCTTTAGAATGAAGGTTTCTCAGGTTACTAAAATGTTTCTAATAACAAAAACTTTTATCTCTTTCTGAAGAGATTTGGTATAGTTTAATTTGGTTGAGTAATAGTGTACTTTCTCCTTTAATATATTTTCTTGAGCAAAATGTTTATTTCCAAAGTTATAACAAATATTCATTTTTGGTATACCTGAAATATCTATTGAGAAGAAGAGATAACAAGATATTTGATTTTTTTTTCTGGATTATACCTTCTGATGAAAAAGTTACTATGAGTCGCAATCTAAATATTAAATACTTTGTGATTTTTATGTACTGATAAAAAGAGGGAAGTAGAATTACTAATAAAAGCAGTATTCTAAATTACACGAATGCCTTGAATATCTAATAGCTTAACAGTTAGACAATGGTGGAAAGCAGTAGAACTTTACTTCCCCATGTGGTGATAAGCACTCACACTGAAACGTGAGAACTGAGAACATGATCAGATGAAGAGATGCCACCAGGCTACAAAAGTAGCAGCCTGCAATATAATGATAATTAGTTTGAACAACACTTGAAATTATTTTATGACTGAAATTCCTCTTAGAACTGTAGTGAAAAAAATTGACTTTAGAGTCTGTTGGTTTGTCTGGTTTTAATAAAACATATATCCTTGGGTACCTGGATATCACAATGAGTGATTTATCCCTTATTGTTACTCTATAAACACTTTCATAAATTTCACGTAAATTACATGACTAAAAAAAGAAAAAGAAGTTCAATCCTACTACATATAATGCCTAAAATACATCATTTCATATAATCTCTTACAAATAACTTAAGGCTGTAACTCTTTAGTACCTATTGCTAAATAAAAGCTTAAATATCAAGTATTGTAGTTCTATTTTACAATTCTTAATCATGTCAACAATACCCATCCATTTTACATACACTTCAATCTTTAATCTTTTTTTTTTTTTTTAATGGTGTTTGAAAATAACATGAAAATAGACTGTATTCTAGGCCTGGCTCTGCCATGAGAGTGTTTTTGAACAGCTCCCTTGTGGGTCATGGGCCTTGCTTTCCACACCTGTAGAATGAATATATGAAAGACTCTTTCCTTTCTGTTTCTTGTCTAAAACTATAGAACTTGATATTGATAATAGCACAAATACATATGAAGAAGCATTATAGAATAATACAAAATTTAACTTGTTGATGAATGCTTTGTTGAGGTTTTTACTGGTAGAGATGTAGGCTGTTAAAGTAAGTTAACATTTGAAGAATATTTACTTTGTGCAAGCTCATCTAATCTTAGCAAAGATGATTTGAGTTAAATAGTATTCCCATTTCAAAAATGAGGAAAGTGAGACAATGATTGATTACTTACCTGTATAAGATTACATCCTTAGCAAGTTGTGGAGCTGATATCCAGTCTTGAGTCTGGCTTCAAATGAACATGCCTTTAATCACTATATTACATTTTCTCTCAAATATTCATGCTTGATTTGCTTCTTAATATAATATAAGGAATCCATGCACCACTCTGAGAATTTCTGCAACTTCTATCCCTGCATTTGAAATAATCATCCATTCCTTCTGGAGGTATTTAATAAACACCTACTTTTGTGCCAGTCATGAAAAAAGCAGTGCTCAGGACCATTAAATGTGGTGTCTTCCCTAATGAAATATATATGTCTTGTTTTGATTATTTATTTCTCTTTTCTTGTTACCCCAACTGGTGTGAGTGTCACTCTTCTAAAAGATGCCCAAAGAAAAAGGAATTTTAAAATCAAACTTCTTCATTGATGCACTCGTGGAATAAGAGGATTATAAACAGGAACTATAATTTCCTCAGGACTCCTACCAAATTTCTGCATTGTTATTTTTTTCTACCTTTTTTTGTATCATCATCTTTGTGAAGATTGACTGCTTTCCTTTCTGTAGTTTATGTAATCTGCTTGATCTCAAAATTTACATCTTATGGCCCAGGTGGTTGCTTCACAATTATGTTGAAGGACAAAGATGATAAGAGATAGATTAAATCCTTAAAACCGAATTGGCATTGGCCTGGTATTAAGTGTGCCTTTTCTAATTCAATCTAAAAGGGAATAGGCAGACATTTCCCCTCTTAAGTCATACAGGCAGAACAAAAAGCAAGTAGCAGTGGAATAGTTTTCTTCTTTTGCCTCACCTTATAGCATAACACTGAGGGAGGTGAACAAAATGTATTCTTTCATTTATAATTTCTAAATACAAAGAGGGAGTGAACATTACAGTAGTCATTTTCTATTTAATGTACCTAACAAAGCTAATGCCCCCATGTGCAGCTTTTCTCCCATCCATCTTTCAAAATTCCTAGCTCTAAAGACAGAGTATATTCTTGGTTTTACTCCATGCAAATGAGTTTCTTACTTGCCTACCACAGCAGGGTTCAATTAACATGACACAATTTCACACATTCTTTCCCAAAGAAAAGCCTGTTCTTTGTCAATTTTTAATATTACTAAATTACTTTTAGCAAATTCATGTAATGCATTTGAAGCCTCCAAATGTATTTTTCAATGCTATAAAATATTGCTAATTTTGAGGAATACTGTCAAGATCTTTTAAATATCTTTCATTTATGTTAGAACCTGAAGTTCTTTAGTTATTAATACTCATTTTCCAGATGGTAATCGTTTTTCACATTTCTTGTACTGCCAACTTTAACATGATTCTATTTCATTTAGAAATTGATTTTTACTCTGGGATGATGGTGGGTGTTAGTGAAAGAGAAAAGATAGGTTACATTGACAAGTAGGTAATTCCTCTTGTGGCTACTGGAATACTTTACAAAATGTATACTTGTATATATTCAGCTCTTCACTATGTATATGGAATATTCTGTGATTCCTCTCCAAAATAATTGTTACTTCTGCATTTTATTATTGGTAAATTATTAAATATTGGCTAGTGTTTTCTTGATGGAATGTTTTTAAAAACAGTTACACTGCAAAGCAACACTAGTCACACTGAAATCTGAAAACATCTAAGAATGAGAAAATCAGATATTTGAGTAAGATTCAATGAAAGATACATCCTGGATGTGCCTGATTTATGGCTCTGGTCAAGATGGTCAGTGCTATTCACAATGTTTATATTATTGCCTTGAGTGTTTGAGTCCAATATGATTGATGGAGGTCCGAATTCATGAAGGATGGTTTGACTTGAATATTGCCCTGGTTTATGAATGCAACTGCTATTTATACAATTTGGTAGAGGACTTTATTTTACTCATTTCTATAAGTATTCAAAGAGAATACATTCTTAAATGAAGCACTGTGTTATACATTAAAAATAAAGAAGATTTTACAGATGCTTCCAGTATGTGGAGAAAGATTATGCAGAATATCACATATTGGTGAAGTATGCTACAGAGGTACAGGGTGGTGTGAGTGTTTAACAGGGAGGTTTTACAGTTCTAGGGGAACAGGGAAGACTTGTGAGGTAAGGACATTTACACTTGGAACCAGAGGATTTACAGGGTGAAGTCAGATGAAGAAATAAAGTAAATCATTTTTAGACAGTGTGACAGCATGTGAGAATCACTGAGATAGAAAAGAAATTGGACCTTTTTAAGGAACTGAAAGAAGACACACTTGCCTGGAATGTGCAAGAGGAGCATGCCATCTAATCAGGTCTGAGGGGTAAAAATGGGAAGAATACCACATAGTGTCTCATGGGTATGTATAGAAATTTGGATTTTAATGCCACACTGAAAAAATTAGAGGGATCTAAGAATATTTGTGGTAAGATTAGTTGTGAAAATGACTAGTGAAAGTGCACTAAGGGTTTATTAAGGGCAACTACCCCAAATTTTCATTTAGGTAGATTTATAGAAACCACAGAAGCCCATCCTTGGTCCAGAGATT